TCTTCCAGGCCAGCTCTCTGCTGTGGCCCAGGAGGGCAGTGGAGGATGGCCCAAGTGCTTGGGCCCTGCACCCGCATGGGAGACCAGGAGAGGCACCTGGCTCCTGGCTTCGTATCAGTGCGGTGTGCCCGCTGCAGTGGCCATTTGCGGGGTGAACCAATGGAAGGAAGACCTTTCTCTCTCTCTCTCTCACTGTCCACTCTGTCAAAAAAAATCAAACTGTAAAGGTTCTTTGTATGATTAACACTAATATTCATTGAATATAGTTTCATTTAGTGCCCTCCACATTATGCTACCTTTATCCTCTCTCCACAAACAAAAAGAAAGGACCCTATATGTAATTAAACCATAGAAGACCGGCAACTATTTAGGCATCACACTAGAAGCTGCCTGATAAATTTCCACATCTTCCTCATGTCTCTGCTTCCCTAATTCTGCATTCAAGTGCTCCTGTGATGGTTCACTGTAGCCTAAATCAATCTATCTCTCTCTCTCTCTCTCTCTCTCTCCCTCCCTCCCTCCTTCCCTCCCTCCCTCTCTTCCCCCCCCCCACACACATTGAAATTCATTCCTTTGGGTTGTGTTGGCCTCTCCAGAGTTTGGTTTGTAAATGGAGACATGTGTCTGTGTGCCTTCATACCTGGGCATACCTACAGAAATCAACCTCTTCTCTAATAAATAGTTAAAATTTTTGGCTTTGTGGTCCCTGTGGTCTTCATGTTAAATACTCAACTCTTGTTGGAGCATATAAGCAGTACAGACAATACCTAAAAGAATAAGCATGCCTACATTCCAATAAAACTGTTTATGGGGACTGAAATTTGAATTTCATACAGCTTCTAGAAGATTAATATGTAAACTAGAAAGGCAACTTACTAAATGGTAGTTTCTGTTCTCTATCGTTGATGTTCTATCCAGAAATGAACAAATCTGGGAAGCCATTATCAAGACTATGAGGCAGCATGGGATTAGAGAAAATAAAATAGAAGGTTTTTAAAGTATATGTCATAAGCTAACATGAATTAAACTGTTTCCTAACCTAGAAAATGTCTTTTAAGGCCGGCGCCTTGGCTCACTAGGCTAATCCTCCGCCTGCGGCACTGGCACCCCGGGTTCTAGTCCCGGTCGGGGCACCAGATTCTGTCCCGGTTGCTCCTCTTCCAGGCCAGCTCTCTGCTGTGGCCCAGGAGGGCAGTGGAGGATGGCCCGAGTCCTGGTCCCTGCACCCACATGGGAGACCAGGAGGAAGCACCTGGCTCCTGGCTTCGGATCGGCGCAGCGCACTGGCCATTGCAGCCATTTGGGGGGTGAACCAATGGAAGGAAGACCTTTCTCTCTGTCTCTCTCTCTCTCACACTGTCTAACACTGCCTGTCAAAAAAAAAAAAAGAATGAAAAACAGAAAATATGTTTTTTAGTAAACCAAAATATCTAAGCTCCCCAGAGAATGCCATATCCCCATACTTAGGCCTATTAAAATGAGATAAATATATCTCTTTCTTGCCAGTTTTCCCTTAATCATATTTTAGCTTGAAGGTTTGTTGGCACTGATTTCTAATACTTCTTATTTAAATCTCAGAAATATGATATCTGAATCAAAAATAACTATTGGCCTTTAAACTTCTCTAAACTTGTGGAAGCTTTTTATCCTCCTCCTATTTAAGTGGCAAAGGTTCATGTATCTTACATCATATTTTACATACCATCTGAAAGAGTTGGCACCCAAATATTTATATCAATCTGCCTCATTAGACTATACTTTTGCTTAGTCTAATCATCTGAAAGGAGAATATTTTTGAGAAGCTCGCAATAAATGTCAGGGACAAATGTGGAAGTATGTCATTTTTGAGATAATGTTGCTGGCAACAATAATTTCCAGTAGCTGACTTGCAGTCACAAAAATTTTTTCCTTATTACAGGACAGCTTCTTAAATGTCATCAACATAATTAATCAACTTCTGCCAGAGCTACCACAAAAGTAGGACTTTTTATTTCAGCAAGGCTAGTCCATGATGGGAACTTTCTTAAGGCATCCTGGGTCCAAGAGGAGCTTCAGCATATACATAAGCCTAAACAGTCACACAAGGAGCTTTGATTCATTCCTTGTTTGGCTTATTTCTGCAAGATTCATACTTAGCACTCCTTTTCAAAGGAGAGTGTATAGTAAACAGGAAGAAATTTTTTGTGGAAATATTGTTCTGAGAGTAGAGAACAACATCACTGTGTAGTACAGCATCACTGGATAGGTCTCTAAGAGCACCTGTGAGATAAGCAGAAGCACTTGGAAAGGTACATATATGGTCAACTGTTGTCAAATATAGAAGTGTAGCACCTGAGGTAGGGGGGCTCAGGACAATCATCTAGGAACTTGGAATCCAAGTTTTATCAATATATTTAATCAAAAATTTTTCTTGCATTGTCAGAATCAACAGACGTAGCCATAGACTCTTCTCGAGCTAAGTCCCTAGTGTTATAAAGTAGTTAGAGTGTCATTTCTTAGAGGAAGTCAGAGATGCTCTCTACAGAGTATCAAAGGAATGCTGCCTAGAAAACTTTCATAATTCTCTTAATCAAATCCCGAAACACTACTCCCTTTACTCCCTTGAGATTTGTCTTTATAGCTCATTCTGTAATGCAAAACCTGCCTAGTTGAAATTATTTGATCTTGGTGAATTACCGAGGAAATAATATGAGAAACTGGAATTGGCACAGGCTTTGAGTGGGTGGACAATACCGTTTTTTATTCTGACTTTTCTGTGTACTGTGTAACAGCATGGAGATGTGGTGGTGGTGTATATGTGCACATACATGCAAGCAAACGTATAGAATATTTAAATTCTCTAAAACTCAATTTCCTCATGTTCAAAAGAGAAATGTTAGTATATTTTACAGGGAATTTGATGTATGGAAAGTGGCTAATACCTAGAATATACTCAGTAAAAGAAGCTGTAATTCATATGATTACTGAAGGTTGTGCTGGCAGACAATTTCTTCCAGGGTGCATTGGATTATGTTAGCTTCTCTGGTACATAGGCTTGAAAAAACATGAGTTGGTGTTGAGAGGTCCAGTGGACATTGCCTATTTTTTTCTTATGCCAGATTTATCTTCTGATAACCATATGTACACATTTACACATTCTCCTTTTTTAAAATATTTTTAGTTTGGTTAAATACATAGGAATATATATATTTAATTTTCTGGTTTAAAAATATTTTTATTAATATAAAGAGAACAGATTTCTTGTATTTGAAAAATACAATTCTAAGAACATACAGATACTTCTTTTCATCCCTGCCTCATTCTTCCTGTTTTTTCTTTTAATTTTTGTGATAACATATTTTCAATTTTCTTTATAATCACAGACTTAAAACTCTGCTAAATATACTGTTCAAGAAGTAAAAAGTAGAAAGACCACTGTTCCACAGGAATATAATCAAGTGCTATAAATAATAAATCATAAGATGACCCAAAAAGAGAAATATCTTATGTTTTCTCTGATTTGTGGAAGCTAATATATAAAGTCCCCCCCAAAAAAAAACCCTGATTGTAGACATTTTCCTTTTTAAAACTCCTTCATTTATTCCATTTAATCTCTCCTTTGATTGACTTAACTGTAATCCCTAATCAATATACACCATTGCTGATGTGCTCTACTAATAAGATGTCTACTATTATAAGTGCATTTGTAACTTCTTAAAGTAGTAACTAAGTGGAATTCATACAGAGTTATATTTTGCCACTTAAGGAATAAAATAAGAATAGACAGTTAACCTAAATTGTCAATAAATATAATTGCATGTGAAGCTCCATTTAATAAGAAAGTTGTGATCACCTCAAGGGCAGAAATTTTTCCATTTATCATTATTGAATAGGATCAAATCACATTAACAAACATGGAAGTGATTCAAGTGTGCACCATGAGCCAGACACTAAAACAACCCAGAGAAATGAAATGTGATTTCTATCTTTCATGAAATATGTGCTAAGTGACTTGTCTTGTTTTTTAAGATTTATTTTATTTATTTGAAAGACAGAGTTACAGAGAGAGGTAGAGATAGAGAGAGAGGTCTTCCATCTACTGGTTCACTCCCCAATTGGCCGCAACACCTAGAATGGCGCTGATCTGAAGCCAAGAGCCAGGAGCTTCCCCCAGGTCCCCCATGCAGGTGCAGGGGCCCAAGGACTTGGGCCATCTTCCACTGCTATCTCAGGCCCTAGCAGAGAGCTGGATCGGAAGAGGAGCAGCTGAGACTAGAACCAGCACCCATATGGGATGCCAGCGCTTCAAGCCAGCCTTTAACCCACTGTGCCACAGTGCCGGCTCCACTAACTGACTTTTTTGTTCTAACACACTATGAGGGTACTGCAGATACTGTAGTAAATATGACATGGACTCTGTTTCCAAGGAGCCCACAACTGAAAGAAGCACCAAGGCCCATGTATGTAGGTCTGTCGGGGAGCCAAAAAACACATTGTGTAGCCAAAATAATAAATAGTTTTCTTTACAAAATCAAAGTCAATAGGAATTACATAAAGCAGAGATTGACAGAATGTGGATTGGCAGGAGAGGCCTGATGGAGAAGCCTGGACTACATCTGACCTTAAAGGATGAGGAAGATTTACATATATAGACAGTAGCAAAGAGAGCATATCAGTTGGAGAGAAAGTGAGCAAAAGTCTTAGAAGTAGAAGTGAACATGGCAAGTTAAGAGAGTAGTCATGGTGTGAACTGGCTGGGAGAATGCTAGTAAGTACTGTGAAATTAAAGTGAAAAACATTGGGTGAAACTCAATTCCAAAGACTTGGGAGACAGGCAAATGGGGTTTAACCTTGTGAACCACTGAAGATCTTCAGAGAAACAGGTGATATGATAATTGTGGAGAAGTTCCAATGTAGCTGTTGTCAACTTGGTGTGTTTCATCTGTCTTTATTTTCCCTTCTTGTGTCTTTGGTTGCTACTCTGCTTCCATGTTAAAGTCAGAATGTGCTTTCTCATTTAGGGGGAGCACTGATTCATCAGATCTCAATGACCGAGAGGCTGGTCCCGGGACCCCAAAGAGCAGCCGGAGCAGTGGTGTGACCCCAGTCACTCAGAGGTCACCAGCACCAAGCACACGCAGTGTGACTTCCATCAACAGCAGAGTAAGTGCACAAATGTAAAAGGACATGTAGCTTCTGGGATTTGACCTCACCACCATGGTGTGCTACATTTGAACTCCCCATATCTCAGATCATATTGTTTATGCTGTTTAATGGTAGAAGCTTCTTTATCTGAACTGAACCTGCTGCATCCTTAGCTCCTGATAGGAAACTGAAAGTGAATAGGAAAAAGATACAAGTGCAAAGATAGCATTTGTATGATGGAAGTTTAAATGGCTATATGATTTAAACAAATATAAAGAATGTTTAGAAGGCTCTGATTTTGGTCCTTCATGTTGCTTCTCAGAGAAGATATTCATAAAAGTTGACTGCACTAAAACTTTTCCAAACTGATTTAAATATGGAAAAGTGGAACCTTGAACTTTTTATAGTGTTCTATATATCTGTTAAAGTAGGGGTGAACACATAATGAAGACTTAAATGGCATGTCACATACATAGTATCGCATTATGCATAATAATGTTTCAGTCAATGACAAGAATGGTATCAGAAGATTATATGGCCTAGTTTGTATAAATATACTCTATGATGTTCACACAACCACAAAAGTGTCTAATGACACAGTTCTTAGAGCAGGTTCCTGTCATTAAGTGGCATATAGCTATAAATGCACACATATTTTATATTGATTTTCTCTTTTTTAAATTTTTTCATTTATTTTATTTGAAAGGCAGAAAAAATAGAGAAGGAGAGAGAGAGAAAGGGAACACTCTCATCTGCCAGTTCAACCCCAAATGCATATAATGTCCAGGGTAGGCTGAACTGAAGCTGAGACTTGGAAACTCAGTCCAACTCTCTCACATGAGTGACAGGAACCCAACCATTGAGCCATCACCATTGCTACCACCCCATAAGGTCTGCTTTAGCAGGTTATTGAGCTTTCAACCTCAGATATTCTGATATGAAGTTAAAGTGTCTTAACTGCTAGGCTAAATATCTGCCCTTTGGTTTGTCTTTAAGGAGAAGATGAAAAAATATCTGGATAGTAATATTTTCTTTTATTAAATATTTTGCTGCAGGTCATTCTTGGAATGAATTGGCTAGAATCTACTAGATGTTTTCATTAACCAGGAAACTCAGTGTTGGTACCTATATTTAAGAACTCTTTATATATTAACCACAATTATTTCATTCAGTCAATATTTAATGGAGATATATGATATGTCATACCCTGGTCAAGTAAACACTTGAAGTAAAAGCATTGGCCATGCAGATGTCTGGGGCAGGGACAACACTGATGCTTGGCAAGAGCACGTAGGGGAAAGCAGCTTTACCTATTCGTGCCTGGTTTCTATCTTAAATGGTCAGTGTACTTGCTTAACCACTTTCCAAGATGTTTAATGCCTCTGGAGGAACAGCAAATGCAAAGGCTCTGAGTTGGGAGCCCACATAGCATATTCAAGGTACAAGGAGGCAAGAAGAGCTGTCATGAGTGAACAAAGGATGGGCACTAGGAAATGAGTTCAGAGATGTCACAGACTGCTTAAGGCCTTAGAGACCACTATACATACTTTTGCATGGGGGAAGCTAGGGGGTAGAAGTAGTATGATATAGCTTCAGTTTATGCAGGATCTGGAGGCTGTATGGAAAAGTAGCTGTGGGGACAGAACAGAAGCCAGGAGATCAAATAGGAGGCCATTGTCATAGTCCCAATGAAGGATTGAATTTTGGAAAAGAGAGATAGTAGTGAAGGTAGCTAGTAGTCAGATTCTATGGATGTTCTTAAGGAAGAGCCAAAGGCATGCAGATGGAATAATAGATTTATTTAAACATCTGCAGTCTAAATTGTACTTGCTAAGATAAAGCACATTTAAAAATTTTGTAAATATTTATGTTAAGCTCAACAAGCAGTTTCTGTTCAATAGCCAGAAAAAATGCATGTGTAGTTCATGATTGCACTCACCTCTTTGGTAAACTAACAAGGAGTGATATATAGCAATTGGAATGGCAGGGACATTGAGCAATCAGAACAGACATGGGCATAAGGCTGGGGCAGTATCCTGGGCCCTTCTTAAATCATGCATTAACCTGGATTGTAGGGAGACCTGGGGTTGTGGATATGTGGGAGCACAGGGAAAGGAGGGAATGCTATTTACCTACTGATACAAAAGAGCTTAGAAAATTTTAAGGTTGGAGTTTGGCCTAGATTTAATACAATGTTTAGGATGTCCATGTCCCACATAGGAGTGCCTGAATTTGATACCTGAATCTAGTTCCTGATTGTAGGATTGTAGTTTTCTGTTAAGGCAGACTCTGGGAGGTGGTGGAGATGGGCTCAAGTAGTTGGGTTCCTGCCACCTACGTTGAAGAAGTGGATGAGCTCCTAGCTTCCTGCTTCTGCCTGACCCAGCCTCAGCCATTGTAGGCCTTTGAGGAGTGAACCAGAGGATGGAAGCATTCTTTCCGTTCCCCTTGAATCAATAAATTATTTTTAAAAATTAACATCTGGTACAGATGTCCCAGTGGTTAGCAGCTATCAGTCCAATAGCCAATAAGTTAATCAAGTTTGTTCTCAAAGCAAGTATTATCTTCCCAAGTACTATTTGAGATTATTACATGGAAAAATCACTTTTGTCGTTTATTAATACCCTTACAACTAACATCTACTTGCATGCTTCTTTATTAAAGAACATCTAGATTTCCCCCACAGAAATTCCTTGTAGTTGAATTGTGAGTATAAAGTGTCTTTTTTGACTTCAGTCTTGTATTCTACTTGGTCTAAGCTGAACTTTTCTAAAGAGAAAAGAAAAAAATTTGTATTGAATAAAAACAAGGCAATATGGTATTTTATAAGGCACGTTTGCTTGTTTCATGATGAAAAGAACAAGTATGTGGAGTTAGATGACAACCAAGTAACAATTTCTCATTTTCTCCCATTTCTTGGCATCTCTTTGTTTCAATGTTCTTTTCTGCTTTAGCTTGTAAGAAGTAAGTTTTTTAAATGGAAAACTTTAAGAACATGCTAGTTTCTAACCTTCCTCTGTTATGGTTGTACCCTGTTAATTTTTGGTTTGATATCCTGAACCTCAAGGGAATGTATTGCATGTTAATGACTATAAAATATTAAGTAGCCTTTTAGTGTTCAGTACTAATACTACTCCCGGTTAGCCTATGGGAAAATTTACCATCAATATAATTGTCACTCTAGAACTTGGTCTTGCTTAATTAAAGGATTCTTCATGTGAACAACTTTTTGAAGTGATGTTGAAAATGGACCTAAACTAATTTACTCACTTGACCTCTGTCACACTCTTTTGATAGACCTTTTTAGTCCAAGGCAATTAGAGGAGTTAGAAGTGATATACCTCCTGCTACTGATATTCTGTGTTGGATAATAATCAAAGACTAAAAATTGTCTATTAAAGCTGAATTGATTAGTATGCTAAGCAAGTGAGAGCCACATCTCTCTGGAGTGAGTTCATCAAAGTATCCCTAATTGTCTCAATTGTGAAGCAAGGCGGGAGTTCCTTTCTGCAAGATGTTGAAAGGCACTTTCTGATTGTTTATAGAAGGAAGATCTAAAGAGTTCATTTTAGATTTGATCTTTATCACAACATGATGATATTTGCATGAACATCAAACTTCAGCCTTATTTAATGCTCATGCATGTTTGGGGTGATGATATGGTCAAGCCCATATGCATGGGCAAAGTTGGGACAGAGTTTTCCTTTATCATGTTCCAATGAAAGCAAGGATGAGACTGAATTTTCCACATGCACAAGCATTTATTAGCAAGCAGACAGCCTCCAAAATCACCTATTCTATAAGCTGGAGAAGCTCCCACTCTTTATCCCTTAATGAACATCGATCAGTGCCATGCATGAAAGTTCCATTTCAACATAGATGTAGCCAACCATATTCTAGTCAACAGCTTTGTAGATAAAAAAAAAAAAGGTGGCAGAGTCTTCTGTTGAATGTGAGTAGAGGATGAAAGAAGTGGTTGAGGAGAGGGGATGTCAAGAATGGGGACAACCGTAAGACCAGACAGACCTCTAAACTCAAGTGCTGTTCTGTGGGTGTGAAGCTTGCCAGATTCTTGTGCATAGTTCATAAGATTAGGGGTACCTGTATCATCATTCTTATTTACCATATATTAGAACATTCACTAATTTTGTGAATGATAAAGTATTTAAACACCATTTTTGCTAATTAACAAACCTCTTAGAATAGATTGGAAATAGAAGTTACTGATAGTTTGGCACATGCTCACTTGGACTTACCCCTAATGGTAAAGCTAGAAATGTGCCATGGGACTCCTAATCCCATTAAGTTGGCAGGTACCAATGCCATCTTACTAGTTAAAGTAATCAGTTTAAGTTCATAATTGATCATAAAGATAGAATTAAGTGTCAAAGGGATCACATAAATAAGACCAGTGTCTGCTAATAATAATTGATAGAATTAAAAAGGAGAGAACAATCCAACATGGGAAGCAAGATACACAGCAGACTCATAGAATGGCAAATGCCCTAAACAGCACTCTGGCCTCAGAATCAGGCCTTAAGGCATTCAGATCTGGCTAAAAAGCCCATGGGAGTTTCTCAGGCATGGAAAGCCAAGACATTGTGGCAAAAAAATGACCTAAATGAAAGATCTCTGTGAGTCAGATCCCAGTGGAAAGAATGGGCCATCAAAGAAGGAGGTACCTTTCTCTGAAGGGAAGAGAGAACTTCCACTTTGATTATGGCCTTGTCTAAATAAGGTCAGAGTTTGTGAACTCAAGAGGCTTCCATAGCCTTGGCAGCTCATGACAAGAGCTTCGCGTAATTACTGACATCATAAATAAGAGTGTCAATTGTTAAATCAACACCAGGAGTCACTGTGCACTTACTCCCCATGTAGGACCTCTGTCCTTAATGTGTTGTGCTATGAGAATTAATGGTAAAACTCGTCTTCAAACAGTACTCTATACTTTGTGTGTCTGTATGGGTGCAAACTGTTGAAATCTTTACTTAGTATATACTAAGTTGATCTTCTGTATATAAAGCTAATTAAAAATGAATCTTAATGAAGAATGGGATGGGAGAAGGAGTAGGAGATGGGATGGTTTGCGGATGGGAGGGTGGTTATGGGGGTAAAAACCACTATAATCCAGAAGTTGCACTTTCTTTTTTTTATTTATTTTTTGACAGGCAGAGTTAGAGAGAGAGACAGAGAGAAAGGTCTTCCTTTTCCATTGATTCACCCCCCAAATGGCCGCTATGGTTGGCGCACTGCGCCAATCCAAAGCCAGGAACCAGGTGCCTCTTCCTGGTCTCCCATGCAGGTGCAGGGCCCAAGCACTTGGGCTATCCTCCACTGCACTCCTGGGCCACAGCAGAGAGCTGGACCAGAAAAGGAGCAACCGGGACAGAATCCGGCGCCCCAACTGGGACTAGAACCCAGGATGCTGGCGCCACAGGTGGAGGATTAGCCTAGTGAGTCATGGCGCCGGCCAAGAAGTTGCACTTTCGAAATTTATATTTATTAAATAAAAGTTTTTAAAAAACAAAGTTACTGATAGTAAGTGTTGGTGTATTATGGATTCCTGATGAGGACCCTTCAAATGACAGTTGATTCCTGCTACAAAGCAATAGACATAAATGTGTTTATACTGAGGTGTATTTTATATAGGAGCATTTTAAAGTAAATTATAGTCAATAAAAGGATTTTTTTCAATTTTTACCTTGTATGAAGGAGCGTGGTTTTGACAGTTCCATGGTTTTGACTGCCACTGAAAGCACCTCTGAGGAACTCATAAAAAGTCATCATAGAAACACTTCAGGCACACCTTCCATAGCAGTGTCTGGGACCTCCGTTTCCTCTGGTGAGTATTTACAATGTGCCTACTTTCTTATAAAAAATTACTAAGTCATATGGAATCCATTGCTCTAAGTGGTATTAAGAGGATGATTCATGATTAGAAAATAATTGTCCATTCTCTGATTTATGGTAGTAGGCCCAATCTGTGGGAACTGCTTGATAGTGAGCCCAGGTATTCATTGGATCTCTTGACTCATGCAAAATCCACTTATTGAGTGCATACTCTTGCCAGGCTTCATCACTAACTTTCAGAACTATATCAGAATATCAATACAGGAATATAGGAAATAAAAATGGTTCCAGGATGTGCTTGAAATAACAGATAAGAATACATCAAGAAAATGATGGTCAGATATGGTGGTCAGAAATTCCATATATTCAGACAAATAAATCATTCCATGGTTTAAATAAGGAGTTATCTGAAATCAGCATTATGGGATGAATAATTACCCCTTTCACTTGTATGTTACATTCAAATATATCATTTTATTTCACTATCACAATAATCCTATAAAGTGAGTATTAATAAAATTAACTTTATTACCTATGAATAAGAAATCCATTTAGATAAATTTACCATAATTATGATGTTTATGTTCCATATATATGGAACTAAAATCATGATGAAATCCTCAACATTAAAAACCTAATGATCAGGGCTGGCGCTATGGCACAGTGGGTTAATGCCCTGGCCTGAAGCGCCGGCATCCCATATGGGCACTGGTTCAAGTCCCAGCTGCTTCACTTCTGATCCAGCTCTCTGCTCTGGGCTGGGAAAACAGTAGAAGATGGCCCAAGTCCTTGGGCCCCTGCACCCGCATGGGAGACCTGGAAGAAGCTCCTGGCTCCTGGCTTCTGATCAGCACAGCTCAGCCATTGTGGCCAGTTGGGGAGTGAACCATTGGATGGAAGACCTCTCTCTCTCTTTCTCTGCCTCTCCTCTCTCAGTGTAACTCTGACTTTCAAATAAATAAATAAATCCTTAAAAAAAATCCTAATGATGATATTGCTTAAAGCCTAACATTGGTTTCTGTGTGCTGAGTTAGTTGGGGCGGGTGTGGGGGGGTGTCTCTCCTGGCCTGCTAGTTCCCCAAGAGTTTTCTGAATGTGAATGTGTATGGTCCTTGCTGAATTTCACTCAGGAGTAGGAAGGTGGTTAACTGCTTACATGAAAAACTTAAAGTAGACTATAGTCAAACATCATAGACTCTACTTCTATTACTTCTACTCAACAGCTCCTTTTTACTAATTACATACTCTGTGTTAGACACTATGTTAAGCACTTGTGCAGTGTTAAACCTCAACACTTTATTGCTGTATCCCATCTTTCTCATTTGTAAGCAATTATATCTCAGCACAGATTTGGCATAGAGCTATTCTGATGTATAAATTGTCCTAGGTTGGTAGATTGTCCATGGTATTACTGGGAATGAATTGGTTTTAGCTTAGTATTTTTAAAACTGAAAGGTAGATGCTGTTTTGATGAAAGAATGTCCTGGTACCTAAATAACAGAACTTTGTCTCAACTCATCAATGGTCCCTTACTTTTTGTAGGAAAGAGTTTTCTGTATCATTTAAAACTGGCAGTTTAGAATTTGTTGGCTTGCATTTTATGTCAACTATGAAAGCATAATGAATTCTCAAAGTATTGAAATCAAGAGTTGTTAATGTTTTATTTTTTCAAACTTAAGAAATCACTCTAAGAGAGTTTTTCAAAGTCTAGGAGCAAAGAAGAAAATTAAACAGTTTAAAATTTAGCATTTGTAAAGCATATATATAGCTGCAATTTTTAAAAATTTATTTACTTTTTTATTTGAGAGGCAAAAAAAAGAGTAAGAGAGGCAAAGAGAAAGAGACTAAGCTACCATACTGTGGTTCATTCCCCAAATGCCACCAACATCCCCATACTGGAGGTCAAAACCAGAAGCTGGGAACTCATCTAGGTCTTCCATGTAGGTGGCAGGAACCCAAACAAAGGTGCACATTAGCAGGAATCTGGAATCAGGAGTAGATCCGGGACTTAAACCTAAGAGCTTCAGTGAGGGATGTTGGCATCCCAGGCAGCATCTTAACTGATAGGCCAAATGCCTGCCCAAAAACTTGGCACTTTTTTATAGAGTACTTACTCTCCTGTAATCAAAAGAGAAATGGACACATAAATACTGGTAAGACAATCTAAGGCAATTTCCAAAATACTGTTGAAATGGGAGTGTTTTAACGTAAATAACATAAAGTTGCTGACTATTGCTTCCGTGGCATTACTGTGCCCTGTGTCTAAAAAGAATTGGCATAAATTTGAAACATTTGCAATGAACAATGCAAACTAACAACATAAGCTGATTCACATGTTTCTTTCTCTTTTCCTCCCTGCAGACCGCAGTCGATCTGAGTTAGATTTGAGTGAGTCATGCACTGATGACTTAGAGGATTCTGTAAGCATAAGAAGCAAATCCGTTCCTGGGACTTTAGACAAAGACATGGTAAGTTGGATGTGGAAGACAGCCTAATGGTCATGAGGAAAGAAGGATACAATCTTGCCTCAAGCAGTTCCGCTTTTAGGTGATAAAGAGTTGCAAGTGAAGTGAGGGCATAGGATACCTCTTTCTGTTAGTCTTCACAGTCAACTGTGATTTAGAAAAACGAACAGGTAATCAGGTTAATGAGAGGTGATTATTTCTATAAAAATATCTATTGATAGGATTTCAGTTCCTGGCTGAAAGCATATCACTTAACCTAAACCTGGGAAGTGAGGGATCCCAGCCTTTCCTAAACCAAATAATATTAGACTTACATGATTATATATTTCATGTGAACAATTCTTTTATAAACATTAAATTGGAATCATTGTGAAATCTATGGGGTTCAATGCAATGTTTCAATACATATATATTTTGTGTAATGATCAGATCAGAGTAATTGGTATATCTGTTACCTCAAACATTTATCATTTGTGTTAGGAACATTCAAAATTTATTCTGTTATCTATGAATTAGCTATGAATCTAGAAAATGCTGATCTCATAGAAGTAGAGAACAAATACTAGTTACCAGGGACTGGAGGGAAGAAAGAAGTTGATCAACAGGCACAAAGTTACAGTTAGATAGGAGGATTAAGGTCTTTTGTCCTATTGCAGAGTACGGTGACTATGGTTATAATACTAATATATTGAACATGGACATTTCTGTAACTCGTTACACCCCCCCCCAAGAAATGGCCTTCTTAATTGAAACTAAATTAAGTAAAAATTAATATTTCAAAGAACACATTTATAGAATGAGAAGGTTAAAATAGATTATTGTTAAGGTTCCCTTCCTGCTCTAATATCATTTGTTCTGAATTTTATAAGTGCTCTAATAAAATTTGAACTCTTTGGAAGAAAGATATAACAAAATGATACTAACAGTTTTTCCAAAACAACTCAGAAAACTTAGAGTTCAAAAATTAAATATTATTTATTGTAGTATAAAAAGCTTATAAACTACTTTAAAATCCACCATAATGGGGCTGGCATTATGGCACTGCAGGTAAAGCCACTGCCTGTGATGCCGGCATCCCATATGAGTGCCGGTTCGAGGCTCAAATGCTCCACTTCTGATCCAGCTCCCTACGAACGCTCCTAGGAAAGCAGTGGAAGATTGCCTAAGTTCATGAACCCCTGCCCCACTCACAGGGGAGACTTTCATGAAGCTCCTGGCT